GCCTGCACGCTGCCGGCGAACTGCTCCTCAAATAAGAACCTAAGAGAGAGGATGACATGTGGGTCCCACATGTCATTCTCTATGAGAATGTTTTTTTGGAGTATGTTTTAGATAGTGGTGCTAGAGTAAACAATAAAAAATAGGTAGTATTGAAATATGTGGCTACCCAAATCAAGAAGTAGGGGGTCTGATTTGGCTAACACTGCTAGAGTTGCTCTAAGGGAGGTCAGTGGTGCCACTACATAGAGGTGGAGAGAAGCACCACCACCAACTAACCGTAAAGGACAGCACTGTCCTCCACTGGATCTGGATGAATTGCAACCATAGTGCGTGCCCACATAGATTAGGCCGCCAAATATAGGGGTGAAAGTGGTATGGATAATCCTCCGCCCCGATCCGCTCCAAATCCAAATTTTAAGGATATGGAGAGCCCAAACAACAAGAATACAGGTTAACGTAGCCCATGACACAAACATTATTATATTGTAGCTCACGACCAAAGCTCATCAACTAAATATACTAATTTAAGTATCTTTTTACATGACATGGAATGGTAATCCTAGTGATTGTCCATTTGCCTGATTGGCGGCTAATCAGCAAATGGCGAAGTTTTGCTCAAATATTTAAATTAAGAATATTTATTTCTTTTACACACTTGTTTATACTCTTAAATCCAAACTGAGAACTTGTATTAAATTTGTGAGCTCTTAAATCGAAGTGGTGGATTGATGGTGATTATTTTGTGTTGTATTGCTCCTTATGACTTTGGTTAATGAATTGTTTCTCATCGTAAGCACATATTATCCGACTTAAAAAAGTCTGCTTCCGCTCGGACACCGGTCCAAATCTATACCATTTCCGACATCTAAAAAAATATGTATTCGCATTCGAATCCGTATAATATCCGATCCGCTCCAAATCCGATATAAAAAAATAGGTTATAATATGGGAAAGACATTATTCGCTCCGATCCAATCGTTTTCACCCAAGCCAAATACCATACCAATTTGCGACCAGGCTATCAGACTCCAGAGCCGGAGCACAAAGAGGGGAGGGGAATGACTGATGCACAAGATGTTGTTGCGTATGTCATCTAATAATATGATATTATATATTTCCACAAATGTGTGATTATCAAGTTCCCATATATATGTATTAATTGATTTGCATTGGCTAATATGTTTCCATGTAAATAAATGAACATATACGCCACACAAAAGATTTATCTCTCTCTTTATATACTGGACCGCGAGCCTAGTGTTTTTGTTCCTGTGTTTTTAACATACAGCTCTGATTAGGTAGACGTAGATTAATACTCAACATGGGTGACAGTGGCAGTAGTTGCGCTCCGGCGTGCAAGCTCTCCATGTTACTATTCATTATGCTCTTTGGATGCGTCACTTCGCCAGTAGTACAATGTAAGTTTGCGTATGCTCAATCACCTATCATGTGATTAAGTTTACACATACATGTAGCGTCGGACTGATGAATGCAAATTTATATAGGTCGCCCTCAACGACTCGATGAGCCCGTAACTACAGGAAGGATCAGCAGCGATCCAAATCCAAATAGTCCTGCAAAGACGACAGGCACTAATAATCCTATTGTGGCCGGCCCCTCATTTGGTGAGAGCAAATTAAACCTCACATTTTGCACCGCACCATGGATTTGCGTGGAGCCTCACCCCTGCTATTGTTGCGCGATGCCTAAAAAATGTTATATTTCGATGGAGGAGTGTAGGGCGAACTGTCTCAACTGCGACCCTAAATGCCCAGCAAAAACAACTTGAGAAGGTTAACCATGCATTACTTCTTGCAACACTTGTAATGTTCACTACATGAGTCTGTGAAATGATTCCGGCTTCTCGGCTTCTGCAATAATCCTTTTTGCTACTGTAGATGGCAAGAAATAATTATTTGTCTGGAAAAATGAGAATATCATATTTTATTGATGAGGTATGATAGATTTTGTTTATCAAAGTTTTGTGTAATAGATGTACCAATTGTGTTAATAGTGTGATATATTTGATTTGAGACCTGAGCCACGAGAAATGGTTGAGCCTGGCCCAGAAACTGGAGGACGTGTCGTCGGTCTCTTCGATCTGAGCTGCGAGCCACGGGATAAATTCATAGATATCTCCAACCATTTCTGGGCTATAGCTAGGCTCTTGATGCACGGTCTTGATCAACTTCGGCATCTTGGGTCCCTACGCCTTTGTTCTTCTGAATTATGGTTGTCGATGGTCGACTTTATTACCTTTATTTCTTCTAAAATACTGTACTATGGTGGTCGATGGTCAGACTTTTTTTTTAACCTTTTTCTCCCTCAGCTTCCGCGCGCCTGATGACTAGGAGGAGATCTAACCCATAGCATTTGTGTGGAATCATGCTCAAAGTGCTTCTAAAAGTTTCAAAACTGAAATTTACTTTTTTTTCAAATGTTGTTGGTGGAACTGATTGTAATAAGTTTCAGGAACGTGTGTGTACTTCGGAAGAAAATCTCATCTAGTTACATGGATATATAGCATGTGTTTCCTACCTTTCCATTAGGAATAGTCAGTGCACACCATATAAATATAATATACAATACATGCTGCATCTAGATTAAAATTAAATCCAAGACAGACTTGTGGTGTAAGGATTGACTCTAGTGGTCAGTATGTTTTTAGCATTAAATGGCAGGTGCTCTGCCTTTCAATTAAAGTAGAGATGGAAAAAAGTGCAGCTTTACACTTTGGCTAAGAATTCATATGAAAAATGGGGGGAAATAGTGAAAACTAGTGGCTGTGTTAGCTGCAGGTAATTGCAGGCATGGCAAATCCTGTGTGTACATGCTAGTTATTCACACATGATACTCCTATTTCCCATGCGCCCTTTCAAAGAGAGGTCATATGTCTTGCTGGATTAAACTTGTTATCTGTGCGGGCGGTTGCTCTTTGTTGTTGAATACTCTTGTACAATGCTCCTTCTACAGGTTCCAGATCCAGTACATGGCAACTTCAGCATGCTTTTTGTCTGTCCCCAAACTGCCCAACCCAAACATAGCAGGTTGTAGTAGGTTCAAAACGCAGGATTATCACTTAGTAAAATGTCCTCCAGGTGCTATCAAATTTCCTGTGAGACGGCATGCAGTGATGTTAGGAAGATAGGTGGCAAAGGTGATTGAATGATCGATCAGATTTACCTACTCTTTGGTGGTAACTGCCGGCATGTATTATTGATCATAAATTGTTATCCCTGTTGCATTGCTGAAATCTTGGAAGGGCTAAGTTTAGTTGGAACAGTCATGGGCCTATGTTGGGCTAGAACGGGCCAACTATGACCACGAGAGAAGGGATCTCACCGGCCGATAAATGTTCAGAGCTGACCCTGTTTACCCGTCATTTGGCACAATTTCCCACTGCTTCAGGCTCGGAATCAACAACACCACTGAGTGTGGGGCTTCAAGCTCGGAATCAACCAGGCTGAGGACCCGAGACCAGACAGCAGCGTCAAACAAACATTTGATTCTTCAAAAAAAAAATGATGGAAAGATAAGAAAGTGATCATTTTTATTTACAAATTGGCATCCTATAGACTACCTTGGCATTGATTCGCACGGTAACATACTAGCATGGTGCTAAAGTTCGCATTCACCAATTGTCGCTACCACTGTCCTACCAGCGCATTTGGGTCCCGTTCACTGGTCTGAAACTTGACTGAAAACACTGTTTCAGCTGGTTTGTTGTGAGAGAAAAACACTGTAGCAGCTGAAACTGGCTGAATCTCCAAAGGAGAACCAGCCGGCTGGTTCGTTGGAACCAGACCAGCGAACAAGACCTTGGAGTGGGAACATCTGTAGGAGCTTCAGATAAATTTATGCAGTCAAATTATATTACCCCCAGCTGTATTTGTACTCTTTCTTGCACTTTACTGCTTTTTCCAGTAGGGGCTTGCCCCTCCTGTTTCCCTCAAATAAAAACTTATATTACCCCATGAAAATTTCCTGGCACATTCTTGACCTTGAGGGCATATGCTCTCATCCTTCATTATTCTTGAGACAAGCATAGTAATACTGGAACGCTGTCTGAGACTCAAGCTCAAAATGTTTTAATAACATGTATGAGCTCGTCACGCTCAAAATGTTTTAATAAACCAAAAACAGTCTTTTGAACTATGCATGCGCTCCTTTTTTTCTGATAACATGTATGAGCTCGTTAAACGTACTCCCTCATTTAAAAAAAACAATTCTAGATTTAAATCAATTTAGATTTTTTAAAGTTAACTAAGTTTATATAGAAAATAGTACCAATATTTATGTTTTCAGATATACTAGATATATACCCGTACGTTGCACCGGAGCCACGATTTTTTGGACTGAACCTTAGTAATCGGACGCAGATGCATCAGCTCTGAATACTTCATATCGAACGCGGACACGTGGATCCCGTCTTCGTGTCGGAACCGGGTAGGACGTGGACGCGTGAGCTCCGAGTTAAGGATGATTCATACCGAACTCGGACGGGTGAGAAGAGATCGAGATTTGGTATCATCGGTAGATGATGACATTACTGTATTTTTATGTGTAGAATAGAAAGATAGAAGAAGAGATTTGTATATGAACATATATGTCTTGATTAATCTAACGATACTAATTCTATATCACAAATGCTAATTTTTTTATATAGATTTAATTAAATTTGAAGTTATTTGATTTTTTTAAAACAATGTTAATCGTACTCTTTTTTAAGGACCGATGGAGTATATACCTTAGACAAAGAGAAAACTTCTCTCTGAAGATGTCACAACATGAGAAGCAGATATCACTGAACTTATTATCATGCAAATCGAGGCGGATTCAATATATTAACCGTGTATCTTTTTTGCTTGTTTCCGCTTTGTAACTCTCCCTTGATGTACACGTAACACGTCACAAACTGGTCCGCTCTAATGTTCGATTTAGTAAACAAACCGAAGCGTCCTTCAGGAGGTGTGAGAAGGCTTGCCTAATCATCGATGTTTTCACGGGATGAATCCAGAGAACATGTTGTTCCTTATCTCAATCCGTATGATGGTGATGGATATCTCGGCTGGCAGAGTGCCAGTGAATCTGTTGTCCTGGATCATCACACGCCGCAGCTTCGGGAGCGACCATATTTTCGCTGGGAAGTCACCTGAGAAAAGGTTGCCTTGGAGCATCAGATCTTCCAGCATCATGCAGTCAGCTAGGTTCGTAGGGAGCTCGCCTGAGAAACGGTTGTCATGGAGCATCAGGTTGTTCAGCAGTATGCAGTCAGCTAGGTTCGCAGGGAGCTCGCCTGAGAAGTTGTTGTTAAGGCCCCGTTTGGTACGGCTCACACCGGCTCCGGCTTATCTGAGAACAACAATGTAGCAACACTGTAGCACGAAGCCGATTTTCTCTCTCCACCTTTTCTGTCTCACTGTAGCGATCGTACTGTAGCATGCGGGGGCAAGCCAGAAAAACCGACTTCTCCGGCTCTGATGAACAGTGCGCACGTCAGTGAGAGGGGAAGAGGAAACTGACTTCGTGCTACAGTGTTGCTACAGTGTTGATGTCAGGAGCCGGTGAGCCGTCCCAAACGGGGCCTAAAAGCGATGATGCCATAGAGCTTCCCATTAGCACAGAGTGTCTTTGGCAGTGGGCCGGAGAGGTTGTTATTGGCCACCAAGAGGTTGCCCAGCGGCGAGTGCTTACCAAGCTCTGGTGGGAGCTCGCCGGAGAGCTGGTTGTTGAATATTCGGATGTCTCTGAGCTGCGGGAGCAGTCCGATGCTCGCCGGAATCGTCCCGGTGAACTGGTTCATGTAGAGATACAGAAACTCCAGGTTGTTGAGATTGCCGAAGGCTACAGGTATCTCCCCGGTCAGCTGATTCGTTGACACATCAAGCTGAATCAAATTCACCGCTGTGACGTTACGTGTGAGCTCACCGGAGAGGGCGTTGTCGTACAGGTAGATGTACTGGAGTTTCCGGGGTTGCCACACCCACGCCGGGATTGGACCGGTGAGGTGGTTTGACTCCATGGCGAGCAGCGTGAGCTCCGTGAGGCCGGCGAACGCCTCCGGAATCTCCCCGGTGAGGTCCATTCCCCCCATCCAGAGATAGGTGAGCTTAGTCAACTTGGCAAACCCCAGCGGCACGGGCGCTGGCGAAAATGCGTTGTTGGCCAGCGTGAGAAACTCAAGCCCGGCGAGGCTGCTTATCTCAGCCTCCGGGTACGAGCCGGTGAAGTTGTTGGTGTCGAGAATCAGGGACTTGAGCGCCGGGAGCCGTGCCACCGCTGCTGGCACCTCGCCGATGAAGCTGTTGGTGGAGAGGTTGAGGTGCTCCATCACCGGAGACAAGGCGTCGATATCGGCCGGTAGCCTTCCGGTGAAGTCGTTGTTGGAGATGTCGAGGAAGCGGAGCTTCTTCCAGGCGTAGAGTGAGGCGGTGGGGAAGGCGCCGGTGAGGTTGTTGTAGGAGAGGTCAAGGCGGTTGAGGTTCTTGAGCTCGCACACGGACGCCGGGACCGAGCCGGAGAGGCTGAGGCTTTGCAAAGTAAGCTCTGTGACAGCTCCGCCGGAGGCTGCGCACTTGATGCCTTTCCAGTCGCAGTGGTTGGCGACAATGGCTGGGTTCCACGAAGCGATAGAGCTGCGGAGGATTGCCCCATTCGTCCTTGACAGCGAGCAGCATTTCGCGGTCGCCGGCGGCGGCAGGTTCGGAGCCGCACTTGCAACTGAGGGCGAGGAACAAGACGATGACGAGGAGGGTGAGGTAGCAGGTGTTCGATCGCGCCATTATTTTTGGGCTGCTAGCTTCGGCTGCTGGGGACCGGTGAGTGGATGAGTGGAGCGCGAAATAGGGTGCGTGACTGATATATCATCGCGTTCTCGTCATCTATGAGTCAACGAGTCAGAGCGCGTACGCTGATTAGCCGTGTATCTTGTTGACACATCTGCACTAAAAGCGCTCGCCATTGGAAGCCACTCCTTCCTTTCGGTGACACTTTTTGCCAACCTTCAAGATGTACACCATCAATCCATCATATATAACTCATTAGGTTGTAAAAGTTTAACCTAAAAAATCGTATCTTCGTCTCTGGTGTTTAGGCACTGAAAAATAATAATACATCATCATAAATCATAATCGGTGGCTTGAAATATCGAAGGGGGTATAAAGAATTCTCTATTTCGGTAGTTACAGTACAACTCGTCAAGTGCCGTGCCTAAAACCCTAATAAAATATAGTATGTTTAGCTGGAATTAGCTCACTTAATAAATTTTAAATCTCTAATTTAGTAGTAGTACTAACTTTTTTAGCTAGCTTCCTGAGCCGTGAGCTCGTGACCCTGACCCGTGAGCGCAAGCGTGTAGCGCGAATAGGTTGCATGAATGTGTGATACTGCTCCGTCCCATAAAAAAAAGTAGCTATGAACTCGTGCTGGTCAAACATTTCTAAGATTAACTAGGTTTATAAAAAAATTGTAAACACAAATAGTATGTGTGAACAGGTCGGGTCAACGAATCAAAGGATCTAGGCGTACTGATTTCCTGTGAATCCCGTTCACTCAGTCGGCCTGTTCACTGGTTGGTTTCTGGGCTGATAAGTCCAGCCGGTGCTGGTTTGTTATGAGAGGAAAACACGGTTGGCTAGCTGATAAGCGCTGACTGAAACCAACAAGCGAACAGGCTGAATACTTACACTTTATACCGTCCTTAAGATGTATCATAATTAAATTTATTTTGATATGAAAAAATCATAAGACTAGTCGCAATGGAGGTTTTAAAAGAGTTTTATTCTCATTTAATACAGTGACACATCAGCAAATCTGCTTACTTGTCAGCTTATTTACGAAGAGAGAGATAAAGAGAGTTTCATCCAGATAAAGCTCAACTCCACAGTTGATGTGGCAGTCTTGGTAATTGTGTCGTGAAACTCTCCACTGAGACTGATCTAGTTTAATTCTAATGTTAGGTACTCAAATAATTGAATTGTAGGGACCATAGACGGTCACTCTTGAAATATTGAATTGAAGTTAGGGACCATGATGAAAGTCTCTTTCGGCGGTTATTACATTGCGCCCTATTACAAATGGAGCATAATATGTCAAGTAAAAAGGAATTAATAGTGCTTGCATTTTTTTAGTTAATTATTTTCTCGGTAGCAAATCTGTCTGTTCATAATTACTGTATCAAAAATTTTACACCAGTGACACCTCAACATCACTCAAAACCACCTCGAAGGTTAAAATTGAACATTTTGATAATTGAGGTTGTAAAATTAGACAAAGGCAAGAGTTGAGAGACAAAAATGAACTTACTTTTTTTAGATATTTATGAAAAATTTACATATTAAATTTACTAATTGATAAATATTTATATGTATGAAAATATTTTTCTACACTTTATTGGATTTTTATCAAAAAAGAAGTTTTAAATTATCATAATTTAACTTTGGTACCATACTTTTCTAAAAATATGATCAATCTTATTGAGATCTACAACTTCGATTTGGGTTATTTCTCCACCCGAGTTTGTTCGGACAATTTAAAAATTTTGAATTTCAAAATATGAGACACCAAATATAATTTTTAGGACCTAAACGATTTCAAATGAAATAGTCGTCGACCACAAAATTGTAAATCTCACGGAGATCTACAAGTTTAGTTTTGGTCATTTCTCCATTTGAGTTCATTTGAATAATTTAAAAAATTTAAAAATTTAAAATATGAGAACATTAAAAAAAATTGAGACCGTAAATGATTTCAAAGAAAAAGTTATCTACTACAAAGTTGTATATCTCATCGGATATACAAGTTTGACTTTCGTCATTTCTTCATCCGAGTTCGTACGAATTCAAAAAATTTAAATTTTAAAATATAAGAAATTCAATCAGAATTTTGGTACCATAAATGATTTCAACTGAAATAGTCGTCAACTGCAAATTTGTATATCTCACCAAGATCTAAAAGTTTGGTTTTGGTTATTTCTCCATTCGAGTTCATTTGAACAATTCAAAAAAACTAAATTTCAAGTATGAGAACTTCAAACATAATTTAGGGACCATAAATGATTTCAAATAAAAAAGTTATTAACTACAAAGTTGTATACTCATCGAGATCTACAACTTTGATTATGGTTATTTCTCCATCCAAGTTCGTTCCAACAATTCGAAACATTTGAATTTCAAAATGCGTGAACCTCAAACGTATAGATTGTTTTTTTTAAATGGATTCGAACAAAGAATTCAATATATAAAAATCCAAATAAGTATAGATAAATATTTCAATACATATAACAATAAGTAAAGTTAATATATAATTTTTTCATAAATATCTAAAAAAACAAGTACTTGATTAAGTCTATTTTTGTCCTTCAACTTTTGTCTTTGTCGAACTTTAGCAACTTAACCATCAAAACCATTTAAATTTGACCTCAAGGTGGTTTTGAGTAGTTTTGAGATGGCTCTAGGGTCAAAATTAAACGTTTTTGATAGGTGAGGTGCTAAAGTTACTCTATTTTGTAGTTGAGGGTTAAAATTAAAGAAAGACAAGAGTTTAGGATAAAAAATAGACTTAATGAAATTCTTAAGGTTCAAAAAATGTGCTCCTCCGTTCATATTTCATCCTTATTCTCGAGATATAATTACACTAGAACTTTATCGAATCTCAAGACACTCGAAATTAGCAGCTTACACACTCAAAGATAAAAGCGAAAAACAAATCAAACATTCTAAATCAAAAGGCTCACTCGGCGCTCCTCCTTTGTCGGACAGGCCATAGTAAATGGCTTTGGCTGGGACATCTTCTCCTTCAGGTATCGCATCATTTGGCGACTTCGTAATAAAGTATATCCCCTTTTTTTGGAAATGTCGTGGTGTGGACGTTCTGTCCGGACCGTCTTCCCAACAAAATAGTTGTCTCCGGACTCCGCCTCGCGCCGTCGCGGCTTCACTGCGTTGTGAGGCCGTCCGGTGAGCTCCACGCCGCTCACCCTCTGCACCACCGTTGATGCGCCCACCCGCTCTCTGCGCCACCGGCGAGCTCCACGCCGTTGGCGAGCACACAGGTGACCTCCACGTGCTAGTTACCCGCCCTCGATCCACCACCGCCCGGCCGCCTCCCGCTTTGCCCTCTGTGCATCGCCGCCAGACTTCTGTTGTTGGTGAGCTTGGCGCGCCAACAAGCACACCGATGACCTCCACACGCCGACGAGCCTCTATTCATTTGAAGCAGCAAGGAGATGTTGCGTTGAAAGCGAATGAGACAAACGTATGTTTCAAGTATTTTAGGTATTTCAGAGCTATGTTTCAAGTGTTTTATATTGATGTTACGAAAGTAGATCAGGATGTTGCAAAATTAGATCAGAATATGTCTAACTAAATATCGTCGGCAGTCCACCGAGGGGTATACCCACGATGGTAGATTGATCGGAGAGGTGCGCGTGAACAAGAGCAAGATGGTGACAGAGACACAAGATTAGATAGGCTCAGACCGTCCGCTCGATGTAATACCTTAGTCCTGTGTTCCGTCGGTTTGTATTGGCTATTGTATGAGATTGAATATGTTTTGAGAGGGTCCCCTACCTGCCTTATATAGCCCGGGGTAGGGTTACATACCGATCAGGTCTAAGTTTAATCGGGTAAGATACAATCTTTACAAGGAATCTAATATTCGGCATATCCTAACGGGTCTTGCGCCATCTTCAGGATATCGCCGTGATGCCTTGCGGTGCGCGCCGAGCAGTGCCGTGCACCGCAAGCCTTCATTTGGTGGGCTGGATCATCCCTTGCGGTGCAGTCCATGTCTTGCGCCATGGGTACTTGGGGTTGGACCCCCCATAGAATATTGCACATGTTGCAATGGCAATACATATATATTTTAAGTGTATGTTCTAAATGTTTCATCTGTATCAGACGTATGTTGCAAGTGTTTGATTTGGATGTTACAAAAGTAGATCTGGATGTTGTATATACATCCATATTGCAAGCATATATTTCAAGTGTTTCATAGTATGTTGCAAGTGTTTTCATCTCGATGTTGCATATGTTTGCAATGGCTATACACGTGTTTTCAAGTTTTTCTGACGTTTTGCAAGTGTTTTTAGACGTATGTTGCAGGTGTTTTAGCTGTTCCGGACGTATGTTGCAAGCGTTTCATCTGAGTGTTGTAAAAATAGATCTGGTGTTGCACATATTGCAATGGGGTCCATTTGTCACAGCAATCTGCTGCAGCTACTGGGTGACATCCGGGCTGCGCAAGCCCGCTGCTGGGGTGCCACCAAGCGAGCGCAGATGGGCGCATGAGAAATCGAGCGCAGGCGTGGGGGCCCACGTGGTGGGGCACGAAAAAAACAGGAGGTGCAGGCTCCATTTCTCTGGTGCGCACGGCACTGTCTTACATCAACGCTCCGTATCGGATGTGCGGGCGCTAAGGGTGGCGGGGGGATTCTTGTAAGGCCCAATTTAGTTGGCTCCCATTTTGCAAAATTTTTCAAGATTCCCCGTCACATCGAATCTTTGGACGCATGCATGAAGCATTAAATATAAATAAAAAAATAAAACTAATTACACAGTTTAGACGAAATCCACGAGACGAATCTTTTAAGCCTAATTAGACTATGATTGGACACTAATTGCTAAATAACAACGAAAATGCTACAGTGCATTTTGCCAAAAATTTCGGCATCTAAACAGCCCCTAGGGTTCAAAAGACGCGGTCATCCATTCATCCTTATTCTTGAGATATAAATATTTACACTGGAGCTTTATCGAATCTCAAGACACCCAAAATTAGCAGCATACACGCTCAAAAAGATTAAATAAAGTGGAAAACGAACCAAACATTGTCGACTGAAGAAGAGACCAAAGCATTCACGGGTCATGATGCTTCAAAGCATGGTGTCAGCGCGCGACGGCAGGCGGCGGAAGAAGTTGCTGGGCACGGAAGGCAGCCTGCTCCGGAACCTCGGGTGGCGCAGCACGTAGAGCCCCGCGACGAGCGCGACGATGCGGAAGGGCGTGACGTAGAGCACCACTGCTGCGAGGAGGCAGAATATGACGAAGAGGCACGTCGCCCTCGGGTCGCGCCAGCTGAGCAGCGACTGCAGGCGTTCCCCCTGCGTGGCCATGTCGCCGACCACCGTCTGTATCCTCCCGGCCACGCTCCGCAGGCGGTCGTAGCGCATGTACACCACGTCCTGCGGCCGCGACGTCGGGAACGTGTCGAACTCCTCGTCCAGCTCGTCCGGGTGCACCGCCTCGGCCCACGACATCTTGGTGTCCATGTGCGGCGGGTGGCGCGGCCGGCGGCGGTAGTTCCACAGCCCGATGAGGAACATGTAGAGGAAGACGGTGGGGAGGATCAGCTCCGGGTACCACACCAGGATGAGCAGCAGCACGTGCACCAGCGCCGTCGTGGCCACGTTCTTCCAGTGGCACACGTCGCTGAACCAGCGCGCGGCGGCGGCGAAGCCCGAGAAGAGCGACACGGCGCGGAAGAAGTTGGCCTTGCTCCGCCGCATGCTCCACATGTGGGACTCCACGTCCAGCATGTACTCCACCACCTCCCGGTGCAGCGGCGGCTCCGCGCGCCCCAGCCGCGCCGCCACGATGCCCATGGCCTGGTACCGGAGCGCGTCCAGCTGCATCACCGTGAACGGGTGCAGGTAGTGCATCCTGGGGAGCAGCGGCTGCGTGTAGAGGTGCACCATGTTGATGAGCGAGAGGCAGGTGAAGCGCACGGCGAGCCGGAGCTCGCCCATCTTCTTCACCCCGGACCGCTGCAGCGCGATAAGCGGATACGCGTGCGTGTAGACGCGGTCGGTCTCCAGCGTCGACAGCCGGATGCGGATCTTGCCGATGCGGGCGTCCCTCGCCGGCTGGCCGCCGCCGTTGTTCACGCCGAGGTGGCAGTTGTCGAAGACGCCGATGGTGATGACGGTGCAGGGGTCGAACACCTCCCACGTGTACTGCTCGTTCCACGTGGGGCCGAAGGTGCCGATCATGGTGCGCGTGCGCACCCACTTCTGGCCGTACTTGGCAACGCAGTACGCGTCGGTGGTGCCGCGGCCGTCGATGGTCTTCATGGGCTGCAGCCCGGCGGCGCCGAGGATGCCGACCTCGAGCACGCCGACGGGCGGCTTCCACAGCTGCCGCGCCGTGGGGCGGGTGTCGCTGATGTACATGGTGGACTCGTCCATGACGTGGTAGGCGCCCTCGAGGCAGGTGCGCACGTGGACGCGGCTGGCGAACCGGAGCTCCCGCCGCGTCTCGCCCTCGATGGCCGCCCCGACGCCGAACTTCTCGAGGTCGAACCAGCGGGACTGCACGAAGGGTCGGTGGTCCAACCGCTTCTCGAAGAGCGTTAGCGGCAGCACGACGCGTCCCAGCAGGTCGTCCTTGCGCGGGGACACCCGGTCCTCCACCGTCAGCACCAGCTGCTCCTCGAACGGCTCGGCGACGACGAAGAGCAGGTCCTCGTTCCACCGCGGGTTCAGCGTGGGCGCCGGCGACACCGACGTCTTGAGGATCTGGTTCCCCACCTGCGCCTTGACGAACACCTCCGGCGCGCGGCCGCGCTCCTGCGGCTGCACGTCCTGCGCCTCGATCACGTTGACGCGGAGGTACCAGAGCTTGGGCGACACGTAGGCCTTGGAGCGCACGCTGGCGACGCCCTCGCCGCGCACCGCCGCGGCGTCCGAGTGCCACGCCTCCGGGAACGCCTCGTCGGCCTGCGTCCCGATCCAGACGGCCAGCATGAGCTCCCGCGCACCTTGCCCCCCTCGCCGCGCCGGTCCTCGAGGCGGTACCACTGCGGGGCCAGCGGGCTGTCGGGCGGCACCCGCGTGGGCACCTCGGCGAGGTCGAAGGTGACCTTGCCGACGTAGTCGTCGCGGCCCAGCATCTCGCGGTCCTTGAGGAAGACCTCGAGGACGTTGGACTGGACGCGGGACTTGGAGAAGGCGAACACCTGGTCCCACTCCGTGTTGGCGCGGCGGTCGAAGTGCCGCGTCTTGCCCTTGTAGTTGCCGAGGCGGACCTCGACGTAGGGGTCCATGGGCGCGCCGGTGATGGGGTTCAGGGGCAGGTCCTTGGCCTTGACGACGCGCACGTACAGGAAGAACATCTGCTCCACGAGGTCGTACGTGCTCGACGGCTTGTCCACGCCCAGCCAGCCGGCGAGCCCGCCGCCGCCGCCGCCCGCGGGGCGCGCCAGGCCCGCCGCGCCCTTGGGCCATTGCTCGCCCAGCAGCGGGTTGGTGTCCTTGAGCTGGAAGTCCTCGTGGTGCGGGTCACCGCCGTGCCCTTGGGCCATTGCGAGCCCCGGACTTGCACTGACGTACGTGCGTGCCTGCTCCGAACCTATCTCCATTGCCGCCCGGGCAAAAAGCACAAATGAAATCGATCAGAAAAACTCCATAAACAAACTCTATAAATTTCATTACTGATCAGTTTTTTTCCGCACTTACTGTTCAAGTGTGAAAACTTAAGAAGCTGGTTTGTAGCACTATGGCTCGGTAACAATGGCGCGCGAGGCACTTATATCTAGAATCCTGGAACAGATGCAACAAGCTGCTTCATCTGCAAACGGCATGTGTTAAGTTGTCATGCAGAAGCGGAAGAGCAGAGGCTTTGATGTCATGCAGGGGGCTAGCAGCAGCAGCCAGCAGAGCAACTTTTTGGGCAGGCAAGCGTCTGGCCAATGGCCGTGGCGGCCCTGGTGCGCTTGCAGGGGGATCGTGGCAAGCCTCGCCGGGAAGCAAAGCATCCGCCGCGGCCGCGTCGGTGGTGAACCCGGCGACAAGGAAGGTATACAAGCGGCGTCGAGAGAAATCCAATGGTCTACCAAGCTTAGCTAGCTAACCTAAACCCTGCAGCGCCTGCGGCTTCTTGAGAGAGCGTGGGGTATGGTATGAAGCTGCAGCTGAAGTGCTGAACGGAGTTCTTTCAGAGGAAGCTGTCCGATGACAACCTTTCTTGGGTGCTTTCTTTCAGGCTGAGCAGAGCAGAATAGCCATCCCAGTGAAAGGAGAGGGGTGATCTAAAGCACGATGGATCATGTGTGGAAAGGAGATTGATTGAACGACGGTGTCAGTGGTAAATCAAAAAGCTGGCGATCGATCGGTTGGGGGAATCGATTCTTTGGATCGCCGAGTGGGCTTTGTTTATGCGCCCTTGAATGGGCGTGCTCTCATCCTCTGATTAGGGGCAAGGAACCTTGCACAGTTCACAGACCAGGACCCATCTGTGGTAGTGGTTCCCATGCATGCCAGGGTAATTTCCGGCTTGCCTGCTGCTACTCTGTAAACAGCAACATCAGCGAGGAAAAAAAAAAGGTGTTCAAAAAGTCATGTTTCTTTGCCCGTGCACACAAACACACACACAAGATAGAAAAAGAACACACACAGCCATTGAGCTTTTCTATAACACCTATTTTAGCCCAAAGAAACTCATCACATACGATGCCTATATTAGTAACTAATAACTAGTACTCCATGCGTTTCAAATCATAAGCCCTTTTAGTCTTCTAAGATATATATTCACTCTATTCCAAATGGTAAGGTGTTCTGGTACTTTTAGATACATAACTTTTACTCTGTATCTAGATATAATGGTCTAATGGATATCTAAGTACGTAAAAAAAACTGCATATCTAAAAAAACGGGAATAACTTAAAATTATTGTTTAAAATAGAGGAACCTAAAAAGAATTAGAACGACATCCAATTTGGAACGGGATAAGAGCATCTCCAAGAGTTTGCTATCTCAACTTGGCATCCATATAATTTTGGCAAAACAAGAAAAAATAGCCTCTAACAGTTTGGCAAAACAACTTGGCATCTATAGTAACTTGGCAAATCTTTCCTCCGCGCGCGCAAATATACGCGCGCGTATACGGCTTGGCATCCAGGGCTCTTCGTTTCTTAGCGGGGCTCTTCGTTCGCTTAGCGGGGCTCTTCGTTTTGTTATCGGGTTTTTTTATTTTACCAAATAAAAAATGCCAAACTCTTGGAGATGAATTATTTTTTTACTTGACATATAATTTTGGGAGTTGGCAAATCACAAGATTTGCCAAGTAAAATTTGACAAATTCTTGGGGATGCTCTAAAGCAAGCAAAGTAGCTCTGCTATCTTTTACATGTTGTTTCTGACGCCGGTGGCTTCACAACTACATTGCCTTTGGCCATTATTTTATCTAATCACTTGTTACTGAAAGCTTGAAAATGTAGTGAGTTGAAATCATTTTTCACGACAAATTTTATTATATATGTTTGTCGCGTGACTAGGACATATATATCTTGATACTTTAAGTATACTCTCTAGAGCTTGACTATTCTCATCCCTATTTAAGAAAGGAGGAAATAACAATTTTAGAATGCGTGCATTTAAAAAAAAACAGTATCTTTGTTGTTCAGACTGAATAAGTGATATCTACGTGTATATAGGATCGGGTTTACTAGCGCCTAGACGTCCGGACAGAAGCGTGCGTTCAGACGCTCGCGCCGCGCTCGCCGCTCAGCCCAGTGCGTGCTCGCCCGTGCGGCCCACTCGCCACTGTACACTCGCGGACGTGCGGCCCGAATAGCCAGTGGAGCGCACCTCCCTCGATTGTTAGTTGGCTTGCTTGCCGCCAAAACGGATCGGCAGAAAACGGCAACGCTCCAGCGCCCTTGCCTCTGTGATGTGTCCCACGTTGGGTGGCTGTCTCCCACGCGCTCCTTCTGGTTGCCCCCACTTCACAGACGCGCATCGGAGCATGCATGCTTGACCTGCTGCTTGCCGCACCCTGCTTGCCCTGCTGTTGCTTGCCCACGCCTACTTTGCTCGCCTCTGCATGGCATTCACCTTCGCCCACCCTTGTAACATGGAGGGCTTGTGCAACATACGTCTAAAACAGATGAAACACTTAGAATATATGCTTGCAACATATGTGTAACCACCGCAACATATGCAACATTAAGATAAAACACTTGTAACATATGTGTCTAAAATGATTGAACCATTTGAAACACATACTTGCAACATTTGTCTAAAACAACTAAAACATTTGAAACACACACTTACAACATACTTCTGAAACACTTGGAAAAAACATCCGAAAACACTTGAAAACCTTTGCAAACATACGCAACATCTAGATAAAACACATGCAACATATGTGTGAAACATATGCAACATCTAGATAAACATACTTACAACATACGTCCGAAAACACAGATGAAATATTGTTAACAGACTTTTATAACATATGTGTACAACCGTTGCAACATATGCAACATCTCGATCCACTTTTGCAACATCCATCTGAAACACTTGCAACATACCTCTGAAACATCTCAAACACTTAAAATATACACTTGCAACATGCGCTTTCAGCAAAACCTGGCAGCTGGGCGAGCGGAGCACTGCACAGCGGGATCCGGCTGTCGGTTGTGCGGTCGCGGTGGAGAAGGAGAATGATACCGGGCGGGCGGCTGTGCGGCCCCCGCTGAGCGACGGTGCTGGCCCTGGTGATAGGGGCGCATGCGGTGCCCGCGACGAGTTGTGCCCGCGGTGGAGCCGACAACAGTGGGGTGCGACCTCGCGCGGTGAGGGAGCCGAGGCTGAGTGGTCCGGGGGGTGGGGGCACATCGCGGCGGTGGAGATCGAGGAAGGCTGGCGGGAGGCGTGGCAGAACGCGGTCGTGGAGCGCAGTCACGGTGATGCGTGAGTTTTTTTTAATGTGCAGCAACCGGAGGGGCGGATAGGACCGGATAGAATAGATAGCCTTGTGGACGTCAGGTCTACCGACACTGGACGGACGTCTGATTCCTAGCATTACCGATATAGGATTGATCTCACAACAGAGTTTTAGCTACAATTTGAAACCATCTTCTAGTTACGGCGAAGTACACCGTAACTAAAGTTGTGGGTTAACCATATCAGTGTTTTCCCCTTTCAATTTTCACCCGCGCAGGGTCACCTATTTCTTGACTAGAGGATGTATTAAGGCATGGTTAAATGGATGTAGAATTTCTGAGCTACTTACACCGAAATAACAAAGAACCGCAGTGCTACAGTACAGCACACATGGCATGCTTGTATAAGGCTATAAGCTTAGCAAGGAAGCAGACGGAAGTTACCTTTATTCTCTGCTGAGGAGGCAGCTCAAATGTGTCAAAAAGCAAGCCGAGAATATATTCCCACATCATCTCTCCACCACTTAGCTCGAATGTGTTCACTCCAGACTGCTGACCTGCTATGTTCCAGGTTCTCGATGGCATCTAATAATCAAGGGGCCAAGTAATGCCTTGATTAAGCAGATGATCTCATGGTTGCATCATTGTTATGCGATGAACTCACAAGTATTCACCACCAAAGCATGAGTAAGGCCCAGCTTTTGTTGAGGCCCAAATGGGCCCGCTAGTGTCGTAGCCATTGGAAAATACAACGGATAAGCCCAATAAAGATGCTGACCTGAGACTGGGCTTCTCATTCAGGCCGGCCAGTTATTTTGATTTTATATTTTTTTATTAGTTATATGTTATTTTCACTTGGATTAGCAATTACTAGAATCGTGCCCGTGTGCTGCAACAGAAAAAAAATAATGCCACAATAACTCGGGTTTAAATGTTTGTTGTACTATTATAAAAAAGAATACTTTGAGCGCGATGTTTGGGGCATTCCATTTATAGCTAGATCCATGTCCATGAACAATTCGAATATAATTCAAGTTTTGAAGTGATCTAGTTTAGGGCGTAACGCGCAGAGGTCTTTACAAGGAGCACTTGAAGTTCGTGGCTAATGAGCGACCCAAGTTTCTCGCCGACAATGAGATGCGGATGTGATTTAGTGTGTTCGTTGAGCGGGTATAGGTTGCAAAGCTCCCACGCCAATAATGTCAATGGAGGCTTGGGGAGGTTGTGGGTGACAACAGGCGGTGGCTTGGGAGATCTAATGTGGATTAGCAATTAGCAAGTGATTGCTAATTGCATGAAATATACAGAACAAATCCTCTCGACTTTTGGATTGAGAGAAGCAATCAATTTTAATATATTATGAGTTTTTGGTAGCAATGTAACCACAACACATAATGAGTAGTGAACAAACTAAAATGCCATTATGAAATGATTAATAAAATACCTCAACAAACAATTACATCATGTTTGCCCAGCGTGTTTACATGAAATTAAACACAACACATTTTGCAAACACATGTGTGGAACTCTAGATTACTATGGTAAAGTGTCCATCTAAACCTAACATGCCTTATGAAATTTAAATTGTCGGATCTATTACATTTAATCTTCCGAGTGAAGCGATGGTAATTTTTATTTTTGTCCTGGCATGAAGACGACTCTTAACATGTTTCTTCCTGGCGCTTTGGAAGTTG